CCACCCCTCCCTGGCTGCACACAAGGTCAGAGCTTCTCTCTGGCTTCCCAAAGCCACGGCAGAGCCTCTGGGACCTGAGTTTCTCCATCCTCACCTCCAGAAAGATTTTCCTTGAGACCTGGCTCAGCTCCTTTGTGCCACAGCTCAGTCCCACATTGACCTGCAGAACAGACTGACCCCCTCACTGCCCTTTGTGGCTTTGGCCTGCCTGAGGTTTCCCCTGTGCAGGCTGATGTGAGCATGACCAACCTAAAATAACCAACCTAAAATGATGTGAGCATAACCAACCTAAAATAACCAACCTAAAATGCTGGGCTGGTTCCTTTCTGCCTTATTTTCTCCTCTCTGCACTCTTAACCTTACACAGAACCAAGAGCTGGAATCACCTGAGCTGAACCCCCCTGCAGTGCCAGTGTGCAGGGAAAGGCTCCTTCCACACCCACTGGGGCTCACAACAACCAGCAAGAGCTTTAATCCTGTTCCTGGGAGGAGGAAGAGGCTGGAGACACCCTGGGGCAATCCCTGCTGGAGATGCCCAGGGAGGTGGAGCATCAGTGGTGCTGTGGTGGCCTCAGGGAACTGTCAGTGATTCTGACACCACTTTGGCTCCTGTCACATCAATTCTGCCCTCAGGGACATCCTCCATGCGGCTCCTGCCTGCGGTTCCCCTCAGCAGGAGCCCAGCCCTTGCTGCAGGCTCTGGTGACACCCCAGGGTGGTGACAGCACCAGGATGGTGTCCTGCCCTGGGTGACAGCACCAGGGTGGTGTCCTGCTCTGGGTGACAGCACCAGGATGGTGTCCTGCTCTGGGTGACAGCACCAGGGTGGTGTCCTGCCCTGAGGACATCCTGCTGTCCCACCCTGCCTGTGGGCACAGCTCTGAAGGCTTTGGGGCAAACACCTCCTCCCTGAAGTTCTTAACTCTGGGGTTTGGTTTTTATTTATTCCCTCCACCAGGCAAATACAGGCACATTTTTCACCTGGAGAAGGTGGAGCTTGTGAGAGTGAGCCTAAAGTCCCTGGGGTTTGTCCAAAAAAATGAGATTCACACACAAAAACCCTTTGATTCTCAAAAAGATGGAACCATTCCCAGTCTGGCTTTGGGTTGTGTCTGGAGGAGGTTTCCCAGAGGCTGGGCCATGGTTGGTGACAGCCCTGAGGGCTCCCAGGCCATTCCCAGCCCACCGAGACCATCCAGGGAGCACAGCTGTGTGGGGACAGGGACAGCCCCCCAGGGCACAGGGACAAACCCAGCATGGCTTGGCTCTCCTGGGCTTTGCTCAGGCACTTCTGAGTGGGGATTGGGGCAGGAGAGCCCCGGGGCTCTGTCACCAGCAGGGAGTGGCTGGTGCTGCTCAGGGGCCACCAAGGAGGGGACAACTGCCCTCGAGGGGCTGCTGGAGGGGAAATTAATGGGTCAGTGAGCATTTGAGGCTTCTAAAGTGCAGTGCAGGTTACATGGTCTTTACTGTAGACTGTAAACTCCTCAGGACAGACTCCTTGCCCTTATTTTTTATTTATTTTTTATTTATTTTTTAAATCTGTAAAGTGACATTCCAGCTGAGAAAAACCTTACCCCCTAAAGAACTACTGCTACAGGAAAAACAGGAATATTGGTGAAAGGAACAGCCTGTGCTTCCCATGGCCATCCCTGCTCCATCCACAAGGAAGTGACACAGAGCTCCTGCCAGCTGGGGACCTCTGCAATGTCCCCTCCAAAATGCCACCTCCAGGGCTGCCACCTGCCTCCCTCCAGCAAAACTCCCATTTGTTAAAGCTGAGGTGTTAATTCAGGCTCAGGGAAGTCTGCAAGGATTCTGTCCAGGCTGTTGGGTGTCTGGGAAGGGGGAGAGAGGTGGAAAAGTGGCTGGGAGGAAATTTGAGAGCTCTTCTTTACAAAGAGCTCTCTGAAGAAGCCAAGTTCAGCCCTAAGTTTGTCACTGGAGTGAAACCTCCCCAAAGGTGAAACAGCTGCAAAGGCAGGAGCCCTTGTGGGATGGGTGATTGCTCCTCTCTGTGTCTCTTCCCTGGCTGGGAAATTACAAACTGGAAACTGCCCAATCCTTTCTTCCTGCAGGACACTGATCCTTTGAGAGTCACCAGCACCACCAGCTCCATGGTCACTCCAAATCAGGAGACAATTCCAGGAGTGAACACTGCAGGACTTCCACCAACCCTGAGCAGGAGCAGCCTTCACACCTGCTGTAGCTTCACAGCTGTACCACAGGCACACTGCTCCCTGGAAAGTCCCTTTCCAGATGCACCTGGGATGTCCAAGAGGCTCCTGATGGACCTCAAGGATGACAGCTCCCATTGACATCTCCAAGCAGAACCCAAATTTACTCATTTACTGTTCCACTGACTCCAGCCCAGCCCATTTGTATGGACACAGGATATTTCCCCCTGCTGTTGGCAGCCATATTTATTATTTTTATTTATTTTATTTTATTTCCCCCTGCTGTTGACAGCCATATTTATTATTTTTAATCTGTGCCCATAAATTGGCAAGTAGGGGGAAGCAGATCAAATGGAAAGAGGAGCTCTCAGGAGATCAGTTGGACTCATTAAATGTTTGGCACTCTGTGATTCTCCTTTGGCAATGAAATGCCACTGCTATATTTCAGCAGGGAACACGATACCTTAATGTACAGGAGAACCTCCTCAGCCCAATTCTGGCACTCTTGAGACAGGAGAAATTCAATCATCTGCGACCTGGATTGTATTTTTTAATGTCTGCCAAGCTAGATAAAATACTTAAATATTCACTTTTATATCACCCTCATGAGGATTTGAGCATTTCAGGTTGTGTAACTCAGCATGGCCTACTTTGGGGAGCATGCACAGAAATAGGCACATATGTACAAACCACTGAGTGTGCAGCATGTGGGACAGACAGACAGTGTTAATTAGCATGGCACAGTCCCAGCAGCACAGCCCAGAGCAGCCAAGCAATTGGTGCCACTTCTGTTGGACTGCAGAGGTCACCTGAGCAAAAAGCAGGTGATTCTGCCCCAAATGAAGGTGGTGGAGCTGAGTCCCTCAGGGCAAGGCACTGGGGATGGGCTGGCTCATGGGACTGTGGCATTCATGCTCCATCTTGGAGGTCCTTTCCCAGCTGATGATCCCTGGTGCTGCTGGGAGGGTTGGGAAGAGCTGGGTGAGCCATGGCCAGGCCAGGAATGGGTGCCCAAACCCCCCTGAGGTCACTTCTCCACCAGCTCCCCCTCTCTGGGGTGAGGATGGGGGATCCCACCCCTGCTACCAGGGCAGCTGGAGGGTGTCCATGGCAGTTCTGCTCCCTGTAGAGGAGGGTGGGGATGTTCCCAGCCAGCTGGGAGGCCATGGAGCTGAGAATGTGAGCTGGGTTTGTGCTCTCAGGGCATTTCCTGCAGCAGAGCAGGACGTGCTGGGGCTGCTGGGATGGGTGTTTGACACCAGTGGGGACGTGGTGTAAGGACATAAAGATGTGAGGGAATGGGGGTGAGCCTTTCTTGCCCCCTGGGGCTGCCAGCTGTGCATCTGCTCTGCAGCTGTGGCCTGAGTGACCTAAATGCCCTTTAGGGTCCCTCCCAACCCTCCTGTGATTGTCAAGCCCTTTGCCATGCCACAGCATCAGTCCAGCCCCAGCACAGGGTGACAGGGCCATAGGACAGCGCTGAGTGCCACACACCCCCAGGGTCCTGCCCCAGTTGCCACAGCCCCATGTGACACACACAGAGCACAAGTGGGACATGGAAAGGAGGGACTGGATCTCTCAGGGGCCCTGGGCTGCTCTCCAGCTCCCACCAGCGCCACTGTCACATTTTCTGAAAAATCCCTTCACCAGGGTTTCTCTCCTGGGAAGCTGAGAAGCCTCAGAGAGAAATGAAAACAATAATTATCTGATTGCTTCTCCTGTGTTTTGCTGCTTTGGAGATTGTTTATCCAACATGTGAATTGTTTTTACTTCATGACCAATCACTGTCTAGCTGTGTTGGGACTCTGGAAGAGGTCACAGAGTTTTTCATTAGTATCTTGTTAAACCTTCTGTCTGTGTCCTTTCTCTATTCTTCAGTATAGTTTAGTATAGCATTCTTTCATATAATATAAGTACATAAAATAATAAATTAGCCTTGTAAGAACATGGAGTCAGATTCTCAATTCCTCCTTTGTCCTGGGGACCCCGAAAATCCCACAGCCCAGGACAGGCTCAGCTTTGCAGTCTGGGACAGCCACAGAGCCCAGGGATGAGGGCCCTGTGTCCCTGAGCCCCCTCCCAGGCCCGGGGGGCTCCTCAGCTCTGCTGGGTCCCCATAGTGGCTCTGCAGCCCCTCCACCTCTGGAACACACAAGAGCAGCTCCACTAGCCCCTGAAGGGTTATTACTCTTCCTAAATTGCCTAAATAAACCAAATTTCTCTTTGCTTTTACACAGTTTTGTGATTGTATCTACATTAACAATGCTCCACCAGAAACTCCACCTTAAATGTTGCCCTGAATTTTTGCACTCCTGAATTTTTACACTGTCTCCTTCAAACCTGCTCCAGCCAAAGCCCAGCTGCCTTCCCAAGGAAAGCAGCTCCTGGGCATTGCAGGGGCTCTGTAAAAACCTCCTGCAGCCATTTCCCTGCATCTCAGAGGGTCAACACCAGAACCAAGAGCTCTCAGTGTGCACCAGGAATTTCCTGGCCACCTGCAGGGCACGGTGTCTCCCTGTCCCTCTGGTCACTCCTGCTCCTTGAGTTGTGCAGATGAGTTATTCCCTGTATCCTGCTGCTTCTTGCCTTGCCCTCTCCCACATCCCAAATCCCTTCTGCACCCCTGCTCAAGCCCACTCAGCAGCTCCCAGCCTGGGTGTGGAGGTGTGGAAGGTGTCACATCCAAGGTACAAGAGACCATTTTTTGCCACTCAAGAGAAGGGAGAGCTCCTGGGGGCATTTCCATGAGGCCATGAGGGGTTTGTCACTGGGGACAAATGAGCAGATGTTTGGGACCTTGCTCAACACCAGCAAGCTGAAATATGCAACCTGCTCTAGTGGAAGGTGCCCTTGGCAGGGGGTTGGAATGAGAAGATGTCTTTAAGGTCCCTTTTATCCCAAACCATTCTAGGATTTTGTGAATTCAGCCATCAGCATTTGGGTCTCAGCCATATCCTCCCACCTCTTTTGCAGGTCTGGCTGCTTCTACATAGCCAAAATCCTGCTGAAGCAGCCATCACCTGCAGAGCTGCTGGGAGAGGCAGGAACTGGGCACAGAGCTCAGCTTTCCCTGTTCAGGGATTTGTGGTAGAGGGGAGCACAAGGAGGGTCTGGGGACACCACACTGGCCAATCCACAGCTGGTGCTGGCCTGTTTTCCACAGGTGGGGAACCTCTCCCAGCTCTCTGCAGGTTTTCACACCTGCCCGGGATATTTCCAGTATTTCCCACCCCTTTGCTCTGCCTTCCTCTGTGCCCCCTCCCTTTGTAGCTCTGTGAAAATCTTCCATGGATCAGGCTCTGTTTGGATGGGAAAACAGGTATTTTCAGTGCTGAAATAGGTGTTTTCAGTGCTGAAACAGGGGCTGGTCACCCAGCTCCTCCATCAGTGTCCAAACTTGGGACAGGGGAAGGAGCAGGATCAGGCAGGGGGAATCAGTGCCTGGCTCTGAGCTGATCCCAGATGTACAGGCACAGTTTGTGGGGCTGCAAAGTGCAAGCTGAGAGTTTACCTGAAAGCAGCAGATTGTCTGATTCACTTTTTCCCAAATCACACTGAAATGGTGCCATGCTAAGGCCAAGGAGAGCTGGGCTTGGGGGAGCTCCCTGGACACTTCTACTCCTTTGCTGGAAAAGGCAGGACAAGCACAGACAAGGCTGGCTCTCCCTGCCAGCCACTCCAGCCTTGCCTTCCCCCTTTGCTCCTAGAAAATCAGCTCTGAGGGTGGATACAGGCTGAGGTCACCAACACCTTGGGCTGCTCATGCAAGCTGGTCTAGTGGAGGGTGTCCCAGTTCTGGTTGGACTAGATGGGCTCTAAAGGTGCCTTCCTACCCAAAGCATTCCACGATTTTCCAGGGAGCAACAACACAAGGGTGTAACTGCTACTAAATGTGGTGCATTGCTCTGTAGGGAAGGAGGCTCTTGCCCACACCCAGCCTTTGGAGCTGCCTGACCCCAAAACCACCAGCACCAGCGTCCCCAAACCCACAAGGCCACCCCTGAGCTCCCGTGGTGGCACCAGCTGTGCAAACAAGGCTTCTTCTCCAGGAGCTTCTCGTTATCACAATTAACATTTAGCTGGAAAAGCACTGCTGCCTCTGGGGCTCCCTCCTCTCACAAAGCACACCCAGGGCCAGTCTCTGCTCTTGCTCCAGGTGTAAATGTGGAGTAATCCTATTAACCTGCCTTCAGAGAATTTTGGAAGTCATTAACTGTGAAAGTGCTGCTAATTTCTGCTCTCACTGCCTCCGAGGTGTATCCTACCAGTGCTGCTGCTGCTGCTGCTGCCCGAAGGGTTTTGGACATAGTGTAAAAGCAAAGCTCCTGACCGGGGCAGCGACGCTGGGGAAGGTGCCCATACACACCTGGAGGGGAGCAGGAGCCCCCTGGGGAAGGTGCCCATACACATCTGGAGGGGAGCAGGAGCCCGAGCCCGCCCAGCCGGGGCCCTCAGTCCGACCACTCGTTCTCGTCCAGCTCCGAGTCGTCGTCGGACTCGCTGTACTCCACGGCGATGCGGCGCGACAGGATGGTGGCCACGTCATTGCCCACGGGCTCTTTCTTGGCCTCTTGTTCCCACTGCTCCTGCACCTTCCGGAGTTGGATTCCTACAGGAAAAGGGGGAAGACTTCAGGGGGGAGTGCACCCAGTGTACAGCGTCCCCCGCAGTTGTAAAATGTTGGCTGAGACAGGAGGGTTGCTGCCCTGGTGGTTATAAAGTTATGTGGGAGGATAGGATAGGATGGGTAGGACAAGAGGGAATGGTTGTAAACTGGGAGAGAGTAGGCCCAGATTGGATGTCAGGAAGAAATTCTTCCCTGTGAGGGTGGGCAGGCCCTGGCACAGGTTGCCAGAGCAGCTGTGGCTGCCCCTGCATCCCTGGAAGTGTCCAAGGCCAGGCTGGACAGGGCTTGGAGCAGCCTGGGACAGTGGGAGGTGTCCCTGCCATGGCAGGGGGGTGGAAAGGGGGTGAGCTTTAAGGTCCCTTCCAACCCAAACCATGCTAGGATTTTATAAATATCTATCATTACAAAGCTGTATCACAGAATAAAGCTCCTTCTCTGCTTCCACTCAGCCTGAAGATATTGAACCCTCTGAAAGGTTAAATTTACCATTTGACCTGAAGATTTGCAGGAAAGGGAAATGCGGGAGACATCATCCACTACAGCCTGGGAGGAAGCCAGGGTGTCCAAAGGAAGCCAGGGTGTCCAAAGGAAGGGGAATGGGTGAGGATGGTGGGACCTTGGTGGGGGAATAAAGGCAGCTCCATGCCTGGGAGCTGCCAGCAATCTGTGGGGCTTCATTCCACCTCCAGCCATGGAGATTGCACCTACACTGCCTTTATTCCCCTGGCGAGGTCCCACCATCCTCCCCCATCACCTGCCCACCAAGAGCTCATCTTGCCCCCGGTGTCACCAGTGCCACCCAGCTGTGTCACCCAGCCCCGTGTCCCGGCCGGAGCGGTGTCCCACACTCACCCCTGCGGATGGCAGCCAGCAGGTCGCTCCGGGCGTCGCTCATGGGCATCAGCGGCACCTGCGGCTTGCGGGGCTCGGCGGGGGCCGGCGGCGATGCGGAGTGCGCGGGCGAGGCGGACACGGCCGGGGGCCCGGGCGGCGGCGGCGGCGGCGCCACCGGGGGGGCCATGGGCCCGCTCTGAGGCGGGGAGGCCGAGTAGGGCCCGGGGGGCGCGGGGGGCGGCGACGGGGCGTAGTTGGGGGCTGCGGCCGAGCCGGGGCCCAGCGCGGGGGGAGCCGAGATGGGGCTGTCGAAGGCGGTCTGCGCCGAAGGGATGACGGGCGGCGGTGGCGGCGGGGCCGGCGGCACGAAGTATTCGGCCATGGGCACCGGCTGCGGCCTGCAACGGGGCACAGCGTCAGAGCCACGGGAATCACAGAGCACAGGGATCATCCAGTCCAACTCCTGAACATCCCAAACAGCCCCACCCTGGGCATCCCCGGGAGCTCCGTCCAAAGGCTCCTGGAGTCCCAGGTTTAGTGCTGGCACCATTCCCTGGGAGATTGCTCAGTGCCCCACGGCCCTCTGAGGGAAGCATCTTTTCCTGATATCCAACCTAAACCTCCTCTGACACAGCTTCAGGCCATTCCCTCGGGTCCTGTCACTGGTCACCACAAACAAGAGATCAGCATCTGCCCCTCTGCTTCCCCTCAGGAATTTGTGGACTGCAATAATGTCTCCCCTCAGTCTCCTCCAGCTGAACACTCTAAATGCCTTTAACCACTCCTCACACAGCTTCTCCTCAAAGCCCTTCACCATCTTCATGGCCTCCTTTGGACACTCTCTAATATCTCAGTGTCTTTTTTATCTTATGGTGTCATCTTTGCCATCTTCATGGCCTCCTTTGAACACTCTCTAATATCTCTGTGTCTTTTTTATATTATGGTGTCCAAAACCACCCCCAGTATTCAAGGTGAGGCTGCCCAGTGCAGATCAGAGCAGGACAATCTCCTGCCTTGCCTGGCTGGTGATGCTGGGCCTGATGCCCTCTAGGGCACACCTGGCCCTCCTGGCTGCCAGAGCACTGCTGAAGGATTTCCTATTACCCATCCAGCATCCATCACCCATCCCAGCACCCAGCTGCCTCCACTCTGGCTTGGTTTGCTCTGGACCTCAATGAAAGCTCTGTCCCAGAGTCAGAAGGGTGGTGGAGCTCTGCTGGTGGGATGGGCTATGGCTAATGCAGTGGTGGAAAGCAGGCAGTACCCCAGGGGAAAACCCTCCATCCGCCCTGCCCCGTTATCCGGAATGACATTACCCCAAAAGTGCTCCTGACTGATTTGGCCCCTCACCAGCAGTTTTGGACCATGCAGGGGAGGTCTCTCCTCCTCCATCAGCCCAAAAATGGGGGGTCAGACCCCCACCAAGCCCCCCTTCCCTTGCACACCCCTCCATCAGCCAGCAGGCTGAAGCTTTACCCGTAATCCTTGACTAGGTGGGGTCTGGGCCCGTTGAGCACGGCCTCGGGGGGCGGCGGCGCGTGGGGCTGCTGCAGGCGGGTCAGGCTGTTCTGCCGGCTGCCCGCAGGCCTGAACCCGTGCTCGGGGGGCGTGGGGGCCGCCAGCCCCTCCTTGTGCTCCGCCGGGCCCAGGTGGGCAGCGGGGGCCAGCAGCTGGGCTGGGTGGTTGGGGCTGGCCGGGTACGAGTGGTCGGCAGCATCCGACGCGTAGGACCTGCAGCACGGGAGAAGGCGGCTGTTGTACTCCTGAGGGAGCTTGGGGTTGGTTTGGGAGTTGTTTGGCATTCAGACAACAAAACAAGAAAAGGCCATGAAAATATCAATGTACAAGACAGCAGAGTGAGAGCACAGGGGACGACACAACAGAGCTGAACCCTTAGCTGCGAAACAGAAAGTGCTCCAGTTTTATCCTAGTGCCAAGGCACCTCCTGAGCTCCAGGATGACACCCTGGGGACACCAGCTATCCATGAAGCTACCACAGGCTATCCAGCTATCCACAGGCTAACAGCTGAACACCCCGACCCTGCTGTGGGCACCACGTCCCCCACAACGACGGAGAGGAAGAGCAAAGCAAAGGAGAGCCGTGAGCTGAAGGTGTAGGAGGTAGAACCTGCCTATTATCTGGGGACAGTGATCCTTCCGATGATGCCATGTGATAGGGGGATGGTGAGAACCTGTTATCCGGCCGGAACTCTTTATCATACGCCATCATGTTCCACTCCAGGCGCCGGTTGCGGGCTTTCCTCACTTTCTTCACCTCCCGGGTGGAGTCCTCCACCAGCCGCTGCTCCTGGGGGGACACAAAGCCACGGCTCCACCTCCAGCCTGGCCCAGATGCACCCATCCTTCTGACAAAGGATGCACCAGGAGATGGCTGTCCCCAGGTCCCGAGTACCCCCAGCTCCTGCCCCCTTGTCCACCTGCTGCCCCCACCCACCTTCTGCCTGCGCTTCTCCTTCCTCTTGTCCTCTGTCGCCTGCAGCATCTTCTCCTTCCATAAGTTGAAGAAGTAGGAGGGGTCGGTGTAGAATTTGAGGCCATCCTTCTTGTCATCCCTGGGGGTTCAAAGGGCAGAGGGAGGGTTACCAGCCACAGGACAAGACCCCCTGTTCCCCATCCCAAGGGCTTTGGGATCACCATGACCATGAGCTGCTGCCCCACCACAGACACATCCAACACAGCAGCCACCACCTGCAGGCTGTGGACACTCATCCCAAGCATCCCACACAATGAGGGGGCAGCACAGCACACAAATGGGGGCACACCTGACCCTTCTCATGGGAAGGACCCCCTTGGAGCCCCAGGGAGAGCTGTGCCCGTACCTGTAGGGTGTGAGGATGTTGAGGGGCGGGGGTTTGTCGCAGCGCTGGTACATCTCCATCACCGGGTTGGGGATGGAGTTGCGGGACACCACCTGCTGGTTCTGCACCGTGGAGCTCTTGAAGGCTTTCCTCATGTTGATGTCCTGCAGCGAAACTGGGGGCACAGGAAGGACAAGGGATGCAGGGGTGGCCTCAGCCCAAGAGGACGTCTGGACATCACCCCAAACCAGCCCCAGCCCCTCACCTTCCTCCACGGTGGAGTCCAGCTGTGTCACCTTGATGACCAGCAGGTCCACCCTCTCCTGCAGTGAGTTCATCCTCATGTAGAAGCTGTTGGCTTCATTGAACAGCTCTCCAAAGATGTCCTCTGCGTGCCTGCCTGGCAGGGGACAATGCGCCTGTCACCACAGCTGGTGGCTCGCCCAGCTCAGCCCAAGCCCTGGAGCTCCCACCTCCCCCCTGGCTCCGTGGGTGCTCTGCCCAGCTTGGATCTCTGGGGGCTGAGCCTCAGCCTCTCCCAAAGTGCTGCAAGGGGACAGGGGAGCCCAAATGATCACCCCTTTCCAGAGAGAGCAGCACCCACCGGGGCACAGAACATTCACAGTGCCCCAGAGAGCCCTTGGACCCATCAGGACAGATCAACCAAAAAAATTACCAAAAATCACACAACAAAACCTGGGGAAATTCAGCCCAGGTAGAAAGCCAAGAGGAGAGCAGTGGGGACAGTGCCACAGCAGGGAGGATCTACAATTTGTTTCACTTTATCAGTTCTTTTCCTGCATCTCTCAGTGCAGCTTATTTATTTAGGGTTATTTAGCTTTTTATTAGGATTATTCTATCATGGAGCTGAGTGAGGTGTCTGGCAGAGCATTGCTGATACCTGTAGGCTACAGCACCCATCCCATCCCATCCCATCCCATCCCATCCCATCCCATCCCATCCCGCAGATCCCCAGGGTTTCCTCCAATCCCAACAGTTCCCCAGATCAGGGCACTTTCAGAAGCTCCTCAGAGCACTCCCCAGCTTGGTCATGTTTGATTCCCTTTTTCCCTGGACTGGAAGCCTAAGCAGACATGGGTGCTGCTCGTGTGAGCCACTGCACTCCCAGCAGCTCCCTACACCCCGGGGTTATTTTTTTGGGAGTATTTTAGAGCAGAATCTGCTTCTGGGGGTGTGTGAAAGAGAAGGGCCCTGAATAGCTTCTCTCTTTATTTTAAGTGGATATTCAGCATGAAATAGGTTGCCCCTGTTAAAGCTTCACCCTGGTGTGAGCAGTGCTCTCATGTGCCCCTTTCGTGCTGAGATCAGTCCCAGGGCAGGAGACAGCTGAGGGTTTAGACCTGTGATAGAGACTCTCTTCCTCAAAAAGCTCTAACTTTAAAAAGAATAGCTTGGGGTATTGTAAATCTTCACCTGGCCTTCCTATTTCTGGCCAAGTGGAGAAGCAAGGGGCTCCTGAAGGCTTTCCATCCCCCACTGCACAGCTGGGGGAGGAAAATGGGTCTCAAAATGTCACCAACTCCCCATGTCAAGCTTGGCCAAAAAACCCCCAAAAAACTGAAAACCAAAAAGAAAACAACCAAAAAACCAAACCTATATAGGTGTATGTATATATATAATTTTAAAACCCCAAAGATCAAACCTATTACATATATTTTTTAAAATATAATAATATATAATAATAGTATAAAAGGATTTTTAAAAAACGAAAATGACAACATTAATTTATTCTATAAATAATTAATTCTACAAAATTATATAAATAAATATATATAATAAAATACAAAATAAAAATTTAAAAAGTAGGAGCATCCTCCTATTTCCAACAAGCTGGATAATTCCCACTGAGTTAGGAGTGGCTGCAGCCCACATGGCTCTCACACAACCCTTGTTTCTCTGGTTTAAACTGGTGGGAGTTACTGTGTTATCCCAGTGTTATCCCATTGCCATCCCATTGCCATCCCAGTGCCATTCCAGTGCCATCCCAGTGCCATCCCTGTGCCATCCCAGTGCTATCCCAGTTCCATCCCATTGCCATCCCAGTGCTATCCCAGTTCCATCCCATTGCCATCCAGTGTTATCCCAGTGTTATCCCATTGCCATCCCAGTGCTATCCAGTGCCATCCCAGTGCTATCCCATTGCCATCCCAGTGTTATCCAGTGCCATCCCAGTGCCATCCCAGTGCTATCCCATTGCCATCCCAGTGCCATCCCAGTGCTCTCCCTGTCCCATCCCATTCCCATCCCTGTCCCATCCCATTGCCATCCCTGTGCCATCCCAGTGTTATCCCAGTGTGATCCCTGTCCCATCCCATTGCCATCCCATTGCCACCCCAGTGGCATTCCAGTGCCATCCCTGTCCCACCCCGGTGCCCCCTCCCCAGGTGGCTGTGCATGACTTACTGAGGCTGCCCAGCTGTTTGATGATGGCAGCCAGGGTGCTGTTGGTGACACATTCCAGCTCGCTGGTCACGCCGTCGGGCAGGGCCCCCCGGCACAGGTGCCGGGGCTCGATGTTCCTCTTCACCAGCGGCATGGCGAGCCCTCAGCCTCTCCTGGGACAGCAGGGGAAGGGAGGGACAGAGGGGGGAGCAGAGGGAACACCACAGATGAGCTTGAACAAAGCTTTGTGTGTTTTGAATTTTTTCAACAGCTCTGGTGCAGAACCCGACCCACCGATTTTCAGGTATTTTTCAAATAACACACAGGTGAAACTGAAAGAAAATCCCCTTGTTTTAATTAGAAACCCTGAGACTGGACAAATTGAAGGTCTTTTCTGATTAATCACTTGGATTAAAATCAAAAATCAAAATCAAAATCAAAATACACAGCTTTGACCATTTGGCTGTTCCCCCACACCGCTGATCCAGGAGGTTCCTCCTGCCCACGCTGGGACAGGCAGGCCCAGCAGGACCATCCCAAGCAGGGCTGGATGCACACTGTGAGCACACAGGTGCCAGCATGAAGGTGAGGACTTTGTCCTTACCTTTGTGCCACCGTGTCCTCTCCCTGTCACCTCCCAGAGCTGCTCAAGCCCCTGTGCTGAGCCCTTCAGCTGGCCCCGAGCAGCCTCACACAGCCCAAAGAGAAGCCAGGCAGCGCTTGTAATGCCATTATTTCCAGCTCACTGCAGCCTCTCCGGGGTTTTATTTGTGCTCACACTACACTGAGACAAGCTGCTGTGGCCAGCTCATCCCAGCTCCCTGCCTGGCCCCACGGCATCACTGAGTGCCCCCACAGCTCCTATGTGCATCCCCACAGATATCTGGGTGCCCCACAGCATCCCTGGGTGTCTCCATAGCTCCTCTGTGCACCCCCACAGCATCTTTGGGTGTCCCCACAGCATTTCCAGGTGTCCCCATAGCTCCTGTGTGCAACCCCACAGCATTTCTGAGTTTCTCCATAGCTCCTGTGTGCCCCCACAGCAACTTTGGGTGCCCCACAGTATCTCTGGGTGCCCCCACAGCTCCTATGTGCATCCCCACAGATATCTGGGTGCCCCACAGCATCCCTGAGTGTCTCCATAGCTCCTCTGTGCACCCCTACAGCATCTTTGGGTGTCCCCACAGCATTTCCAGGTGTCCCCATAGCTCCTTGTGCACTTCCACAGCATTTCTGGGTGTCCCCACAGCATTTATGCGGGTCTCCATAGCTCCTGTGTACACCCTCACAGCATTTCCAGGTGCCCTCATAGCTCCTTGTGCACCCCCACAGAATATTTGGGTGTCCCACAGCATTCCTGGGTGTCCCCATGGATCCTGTGCACCCCCACAGCATTTATGGGTGTCCCCACAGTGTTTCTGGGTGTCCCCTGCTCCACTGTCCCCCCTGAACTGGGGATGGCTCATTTTCCACAGGGTTTAAGGAGACTTAGGGAGACCAAAGGCCTCACCCCACTGAGGGCACCCAGGGGAGCTGCAGGGAAGGATGAAGGAGGGGCACCATGGGCTGTGGGGTGCTGGGCACAGGGTACCCCGCTGATGGAAAGGGTGAATGGTGGGAAACAGGCTGGGAAATGAGGCAAAAAGGAGCATTTATTATCCATGGGAGTGGGAACCGGGATAGGGACACAGACCCTGGGATGGTGACAGAGATCCTGGGATGGGGACACAGACCCTGGGATTGGGATGGTGACAGAGATCCTGGGATTGGGAAAGGGACACAGACCCTGGGATTGGGATGGGGACACGGACCCTGGGATGGTGACACAGACCCTGAGATTGGGATGGGGATACAGACCCTGGAACAGGGACACAGAACCTGGGATGGTGACACAGACCCTGAGACTGGGACTGGGACACAGACCTTGGGACTGGGACACAGACCCTGGGATTGGGATGGGGACACAGACCCTGGGATGGGGACACAGACCCTGGGACTGGGACACATATCCTGGGACTGGGATGGGGACACAGACCCTGGGATGGGGACAGGGACAGGCAGTCACCCCCCAGCTCACACAAGGGGGTCTTGGGTGCCATGAGTGCATCGGGGCTCAGCCCAGCTCCCAGAGCAAAGACAAGCTGGTGGCTGTGCTGATGAGGACCAGAGGGCACCAAGAGCATTCCCAGCGATCAGAACCCCCCTGTCCCACGTCCCCACCCGCCCCATGTTCCCCAGAATGCTGGCAGCGAGCAGGGGCAGCTCCCGCCATGGCCGTGAGCGGAGCCAGCGCTGCTGCCCCGAGCGGAGCCAGCCGTGTGCAGAGTTCACATTCTTTGGCCCTGGCAGCTCAGACTGAACAGTTTCCCATTGACAGCGCCCGGCCAGCGCTCCCAGCAGCGGCAGCAGCTCCTCCGCTGCTTTCAAATGCAAATCCCAGCTCCCCCCATGGAGGAGCCCTCAGCCTGTCCTCAGGGCTGCAGGGGAAGGAGCCGAGGGGATCCCCCGGGGCTCAGAGCGAACCCCGAGCCCTCCAGTGCTCCCCATGGCCGTGGTGATGTCCCCACCTCCCAAAAATCAAATTTCTGCCGGCTGTTTGTTCTGTGTGCCAGCATTTGCAGGGATGTACAACCCCTTCCCCTTTCTGGGCACCCCGAGCCCCCAAGGCTGAGCAAAGAGCTTCACCCCGAGCTGGTTTGATGTGTGCCCCCGAAAGCTGAGCCCTGGCACGTCCCAGGGCTGCAGCACTGCAGGGCACAGGGCAGAGCCCTTAACGAGCTGCAATTAGGGACAGGGAACAAAGAGCCATTCTCAGCATCCCCTGGGCCACAGCCACCGGCACGGGCACTGGACACAGCCCTGGCACCTGGGGCTCTCTGTCCCTGCACAGGGCACAAATCTGGGGGGAACTGGGGCCACCTGAGCCCGCAGACCCCACGGGGACCCTGGAGCAGAATGAAGGGAAAAAAGGGATTTTGTCATTTTGTGGTTTGGAACTTCCCAGCAGGGACAGATTGGAGGAGAGGCAGAAAGTGGGTGAGGGGTGTGATGGAAGTATTTGAGGCTGTGCCATGGGAGGGCATCCCTGGAGGAGGAAAATCCCTTTAATCTCACCCCAAAGAGGCCAAACAAGACTCAGAGCTTGCAGCAGAAGGAACCAAGGAGGAGTTTGGCACATTTTTATGCAAGGAGAGCCTGTAAAGGAAATTTTGACCAAATCACAGGAAGAGCTGCTTTCCAACCCCCCAATTAATGGAGAACAGGGATCAGAACCCTTGCACAGCCCTCCCCTGACAAGAGTTCTCTCACCCTGCTGCACCAACAGCACCAAACCTCTGAGTTCTGAAATCCCTCTTGAAATCCCAACTGCTCACCTAAAACCTGCCATCTCTAGGCCTGTCCTGAGCCCAGTTCTCTGGTGGGGATGGGCTGCACGTGATTCCAGAGAGCCCAACCTCATTTCTGTCCTCTGTGGCACATCCTGCTCACCCACCCAGAGGCTGCACACAAATCCTGAGCACTGAATGGGGCCAGAGCCCCAGCAGGGGATGCTGAGCTGTGCCCTGCTCCTCCTGCTATCACAGGTCATCTCCAGGACTTCAAGGGGGTGATTTTGGGGGGCAAAATATTTTCCTCAGACCTTCAGGAAGAGGCTCCCAAGGGCAGGGATGGTCTGGGTGCAGGCTCCAGGATCGTGTACATGGATAAATCCCATGGGATTTTGCTGTGTCCTGAGTGGAAGGAAGGCAGGATCCTCGGTGGGAGGTGGGGTCAGGATGCAGGAGGAGGAAAATGGGAGCCACGAGCTCAGCAGGGTGAAGGCAGGAGAAATGGGACCAGCCAGAGGCTGGTTCAGGTTTCAGGTGCACTGTGGGGATTCTCCCATCACTCAGCTTTTCCCTGAGACTGGAGAGAGCCAACAGCCCTAAATCTTGTGCTGGGAAATGCCACAGGTGAGGGGAGACACTCAGAGCTTCCCACCTGCTTCCCAAACCCAGTGGTGCAGCTTGGAAAGGAATCAGCTGAGCTGACCAGGCAGGGGAGGACATGGGACAGAAATGAGCTGTTCATTGTGCCCTAAGATGCTGATTTCCCCAAAAGGAACAAACTGCCAGCAGCACCCCAAATGCAGAGCTGCTGGCAGCACTGAGGGGCAGCCCCTGCTGTGTCAGAACAGTTCTGAGCAGTGAGGGCTGTCCTAGAACAGTTCTGGGCAATAAGGGCTGTCCCAGAACAGCTCTGGGCAATAAAAGCTGCCCCTGTCCCTGCAGACCAGGCTGGGGATGCCTTGCAGCTGCTGGCCCAGGGGTGACCCTGCAGCTGGCTCCTTCCAGATGTTATCCCTCACCTCAGCAGCACCAGCATCTGGCAGCTTAGATCCATCAGGGCAGAAAAGCAGCTCTCATTTTGTAAGAGGCTGCAAAAAAAGGAATTTTGCATCCAGCCATTACTCCTTATGTTCTTTGCAACAGCTTTCCATGTGCGTAACTGTGCCCTCACCCCCTCCCTGTCCCCAGAGCCACTCTGTCCCCCTGGGCTGTGATTTACAGCCCAAAGGGGCCTGGAGGAGCAGGTGTGCTCTGGTGCCCTGCAGGGAGGGCCAGGCTGTGAGCACAGATCTCTCAGGTGCTGCTCAATCCCTGGGGCACAGTTCTGGCTTGGTCAGTGCCCAGCACCTGCAGCCCTGCTTGGGGTGGCATGAGAGAGAAGGGAGAGGTGTCCTGGCTCTCATTTTCCTTCTCTGAGCTGTGGTGGAGCAGGGAACAGTTCTGGGGGTTGTTTTCCTGCAGGAGACCCCTGGAGTGGGAGAGGAGCCATGGCAGAGGCGGGCAGCCCTGCAGGGAAGGATTCCAAGCTGCAATCACCAGCTCCAATATTCCTGATGGGATCAGGGGTGCATGGAGCAGCAGGAATGAGGGAAACCTTCACTCTTCAGCCAGGAAAAACCCCGAGCTTGGATTTGGGGAGGATGTGGGTAAGTGTGTGATAAAGCCAACACCTCAGGACTGGGAGTTGGAGTCAGCCCTGCCCTGAGCTCAGCTCTAGGCCAAGCTTTGGGGCAGTCTGTTTGCTCAGCCCTTGCAATCAAAGCTCTTTCCCAATTTGGGCTTCCCAGGGTCCCTCTGAGCCCTGAGGAGCAGCACTGCCAGAACTGGAGATTTTGCAAGGCAGTAAATCTTTGGTTGGATGCCAGGAGCCAGAGTAGAGAAAAAAACCCAAGATATGTGTGGAAAAACCTATTAACCTTGAACAAAAGAAGTGAATATTAAACAAACAAGAAGTGCCACAGCTCCTGGTGGCTGCTCAGGACCCTGTTTTGGTGCAGAACCCTTGGA